CACCTGGATTCCCCCATCCAGACCATTCTATACCATATAGGCCCACAAGATGCATATTTTATTCACCACTGCTGTGCCCAGTGTCTGGCACAGAGCCTGACCTGTAGTAGGTGTTCAATTAATATTTATTGGAAGCATCAATGGTAGGTATTTTTAAATGTCAGATTGCAGTGCATTAGCCCAGGGATCGCAAACTGACAGGTCACCGGCATCATCAAGCCATGGACATATTTGTACGGCCTCACAGTATTTTTGATACCTGTAGGTAGAGCCTGCTGTCTCCTGCTTACCACTATGTTACCCTATTTCTTGTCCTTGGGTCACTTATTTGTTACCTGCCTGGTCCTGGGACATAAGGTTGAAAGCTGCAGGGTGTATGAGTGTGCTAGGCCTGCTGTAACAAAGTACCACAGACTGGTTGGCTTAAACAACAGAAGTTTATTTTCTCATGGTTCTGGAGTTCTGAAGGCTAGAAGTCCAAGATCAAGATGTCAGCCTGTTTGGTTTCTTCTGAGGTTTCTCCTCTCGGTGGGCAGACAGCTGCCTTCTTGCTGAGTCCTCACATAAACATCCCCTGGTCTGTGTGCGGATGTCCTAATTTGCTCTTATCGGGACACCAGTCATGTTGCATTAGGGTCCCCCTAGATGAACTCCTTTAACCTTAATCGCCTCTTTAAATCACCCTGCCTCCAAACATAGTCGTATTCTAACATGCAGGGGGCTGGGACTTCAGATGAATTTGGGTGGCAGGAACACTTCATCTCGTAATAGGCAGAAACACAAACTGGCAACTACTGTGCTCTTTGCCTGGTGTCTGACGGGTGTTTTATAACAAGTTAATAAAGGCAAGTGCAGGAACCGTCCGAGAGCAGTTTGCTCACCAAGGCAGAATCTGGAGACACATGTCATGCATCTGCTCAGACACCTGATCTCTACTATAATCACTTCGATCTTGGGACCATATTCATGTTTCTTAAACATCTGATGTTCAGTTAAAACACCAAGTAGAATTTAGGTGCTTTTCAGTTTGGAAATCTATATCCTTTCATCCTGTGCACTCCAAAAACTGACATCTGGGTTGCAACTCTTGTCTCTACTATGGAATCAGTGGACAGTAGAGGTAAAAGCCGTCCAACGACAGGGCCCCGCCTCCGTGTGCCGTGAGCAAACAGCCGGGCCCTTTATTACCCTTGAAACCAGCACTCGTGACACAGATTGGACTCGGGAAGCAAGTCAAATGCCAAGTTTCTGTGGGTCAAAGTTCCTTCAAACACTGTATGTTAATCAAAAGCTCAACCTTAGTTAATTAGGCATTTTGTTGGGAAGAACTTTGGAACAAATGGTCACTGAGTTGGGCTGCAGGAGTTAGCAGAACCCTGATTTTGGTTTCCAGCACTTGGTCGTGGGCTTGTGGTCTTTCTTGGAGGGCGCGGGAGTGAGACTCTTACTGGGTTTCATTCATTCTTGGTGGAGTGATAGCATAATAAAACCTGCTGTACAGGGGCGCCTGGGTGGCTCAGTTGGTTAAACGCCTGCCTTCAGTTCCGGTCATGATCCTGGGGTCCTGGGTTCGAACCCTGGGTCCAGTTCCTTGCTCAGTGGCGTGTCTGCTTCTCCCTCTCTCTCTCTGCCCCTCTGCCCCCTGCTCGTGCGTTCTCTCTCTCTCTCTCAAACAAATCCAATCTTTATAAAAAAATAAAAGAAAATCAGTGGTACAGAGCCTGGCTAATCAAATGTATTTACTTAAAGATGAAGCTGAATAGTTATAGGGTATTCTAGGGCTTCCAAAGGTAAAGAGACATTTAAAACACTGACAGTTCACAATGCTTTAACATATTTTCAGTGTTTGGTGATTTACCCTAAAAGACCACAAGCAAATGCACCTCTGCAGAAGGAAATTTAAATGACTGTAATAATCACAGCTGTCCTTCACTGAGTTTTCTCTCATGAGACCCTAAGGGCTTCATATCTGTCATCTTATTTATTGTCACAATGTCTTTAATAGGTGGGTAATATTAGGCCCATATTAGATGAGGAATACAAGGTTCAGAGGGGTTGAGTAACATGCCTGGGATCACCCAGCTAGCAGGCAGTAGGTCTGAGTTTTGAGCATGTGGACAAACCCTTCCTTGTTACGCCACCTCTCTCTACATTACTCTCTTCTCATCAGAGTCAGATTTTCTTCCTTGAACATTCTTTTAGCTAATATGAACCCACATCGCCTTGTAGAATTGGCAAAAGCATGTGTCCTATTTTTTCTGTGTATTTGGGCCAGTGGAAATTTCCTATATGACTGGGTTATGTGCTTCTCCTTGTACCATGCACACACGAAGGGTATATGATGATAATTAAACCCCACATTTCTTCTTACCCCTCCTCCCTCATTACTCTTAGTGGCCACTAGTTGCATCCTCCTCATTCGCCATCTCTGGGTCAATAGAGTTATCCTTTCAATTTCATAGTTCAGTAACAGGCATTCGGGGGGCACCTTGCACCAGGTCACCCAAAGGAGACAGCCCTTCCTGGGCTCACTAAGGCGGTTTGGTAAGTCAGGCTGGCTTCATTTTCACCATGGCTCAAATGAACGTAATCCAAGGGTGGAAAAAAAGTAGGTGAACGTTACGTGGTGACATTCAAATGCTCGTCCTTTATGATTATTTTTTTAAAAACCAGTCCGTATTATTTTTGCCTTTGGGTGTTTGCGTAGCTTAACCAGGCCAGCATGCTCTCTATTGTATAAGCGTGAATGGCCCAGAAGACTCCCACAATCACAAATGACAGTACTACATGTGAGTGACTTTGTATTTCTCAAAGAAAGAAATTTGATTCTAACATTGAAAGAAAAACGAATTGTTTTGATAACTTCATACAATGATTTTGAGATTCATAGCCCTAGAACCTCATAAGCAGTGGTACTGGCCCTTGGGACAGCCTGTGTGAGATCATGGAGCAGCCTCCCAGGCAGCCAGTCCCCAAATCACTCTTACCCAAGACCAGGTTCCCCTCCAGCAATCAACATTGTAGGATTTGCAACTAATACTTCTTCCTATGCCTCAGAATGATTTGTTAGCATCCATTTATCTGTGAATGAATCCGAAGCCACATCATTCGTGTTAAATTCATGGGAAAATACATCTTTCTAGAGTCGGTGTCATAGAATGAGCAGGATTCCTCAAGCCACATGGATCAGGTTTATATAGGCGTTAATATTTGCATAACCTCCATATTATAGGGCCCCATGAATGATACTACACTAATCCCGAAATCAGTATGGATACAGGAAAACTGGTTTATAAACATTTTCTGAGCACCTACTACATGCCAGGCTCGGTGCCCAGGTATTGGGTAATTAAGAGATTAAGACAGAAAGATTAGATTTCTGCTCCTAGGCAGCTGGTCTAAGATTCAGGGCAAATATTAAATAAAAAAAGAGTAGAGGCACCTGGGTGGCTCAGGTGAGCACCCAGCTCTTGATTTTGGCTCAGGTCATGATCTCAGGGTTATGGGATGGAGCTCCGTGTCGTGTTCTGCACTCAGTGGGAAGCCTGCTTGAGATTCTCTCTCCCTCTCAATCCTTCTGCCCCCTCCCCCTCTCTCTAATTAATCTTAAAAAAAGAAAAAAAGTAATGAGTGGGCTGAAAAATTATAAGGAATTCAGGGGGTTTAAAACCAGAGGACCTAACTTAAGTAAGAGATGTGACCAGGAGGGAAGGTTTCTTAGAATCTAAGTGGTGTTTTAAACCAAAGAAGAAAGAATGATTTGCTAGGCAGGGGGAACTTGGGGGCAGGTAGTAGTGATGTACTAAATGAGGAACAACCTTTGTGAGGGTCTCAACTTAGAAGAGTGTCAGCTTCCAGGAGTAAGCAATGAACCTAATTGGGCAAGAGGGAGAGGGAGAGGGTTCCAGATGAATAGAAGATGTCTTTTGTAAAATAAGGACTAACTTAAATTTTTGGAAGGATCTGCGAAGCCCCTTAGAGATTGATTTCAAACTGGTCAGATGTTTTGGTTTTATGGTTCAGACATCAATTCTTCCTTCTGTATTAGCATTATATTCTAGAGCTGGATCCCAAGTCCTGTTTTCTTGCCAACCCTTTGAATTCTCTCCAAATCTATGTTCTTAATTTCCTTCACCCTCCCACAAGAAGGTGACTGGGGAAGGGTGATCATTGGCATTGTATATGATCCTCCCCCCACACCATCCAAATGCTAGATTAAAAAAAAAAAAGTTTAAACAGGACAGACAGAGGCCAGCTACTTGACCCTGCTTCCACTCTTGGACCATTATGAGTTATTCAGGTTTCAAGTCTTACTGTTCTATGTTGACATTTCTATCAAGAGTACTGCCGAGCTGAGCACCTTGGTCAGTAACTAAACTGGCAGATTCAGAAGCTCATACTTGTATATGTACAAACATACATATATCCGCACACAGAATCCTGATTCCATTTAATTAGCCATGTCAAGCTTGCTCATTTCTTAATCATGGGTGAATTTGATGTGGTCATTTTTTAAGAGTTCTGTTTAGTGTAGGGGGTGACCAGAGTTAGATCTTTTGTTTTTTTTTTTTTTTTAAGACCTTTTTAACAGACTTATAATCTTTTGAGGAGGTTTTTTTTTTTTTTTTTTTTTTTTTAATCGCAGTACGAGATAAGATTGGTCTCTTTTCTCCATACAGAAGGAAAGAGAATCACTGGCTATGATTGATAGGAACAGATTTGATCTTTAGAATGAAATGCTGGTGACCTCCTTGGCCAGCCTCTTAAAAAGTTAGTGTCTAGGTTATTACCTGATTTTTTCAAGCAACAGGAAGTTTATGCTCCCCCATCAAGATATGGGTTAGATGGTGGAGTGGTGGAGATCCTTAGGAAAGCCAAAGCGGGGGGTGGGGGGGGGGGGGTGGGGGGGGAGATTATGGAGTTCCTGATGGAAACATTTCTTTTTTTAGATTTTATTTATTTATTCATGAGAGACACAGAGAGAGAAAGAGGCACAGACATAGGCAGAGGGAGAAGCAGGCTCCCTGCAGGGAGCCTGATGTGGGACTAGATCCCGGTCCCTGGGATCAAAACGTGGATGCTTAACCACTGCACCACCCAGATAGCCCCTGGTGGAAACTTGACATAAAATAGTAAGAGATTTTGAGTACTGACCTTTTCCTATACATCATAGACTAGCATCCCCTTCCAAGTAAGTTAATAAACTAAGACATGGATATTGTTTAACCTATAACTTGAAAATTCATGTTGCTTTTGAAAAGGAGGAAAAGGTGGTCTGTGAGAAACATTGTTTTCTGCAGTAACATGCTGTTCATGTTTCTGAATTGAAGTTTTCACTTAGATAACATATTTCTTAGCGATAGGTCTTCCAGAATCCCTGAAAATGACCAGAAGGTGTCTCTTTTGGAAATTATCCTCCCATTATTTTTTTTTTTCTTCCAGGAAGGCAGGCTGTAATTCCAATAGAACATAGGTGATCTCCTAACTGTTGCACAGTTCTCATGTGGTCCATATAAAGGAAACTTGCTAAAAAACATACATACAAAAGTCAAGCAAGTGAGTTAGATTCTCTTTCATTTAGTCAGCTACTAATAGGAACCTGTCACAAAATGACCTCCCACTGCTCAAGGCAATTCCCAAAGGCAGGTTCCTTTTCTTCTTTTTTTTTTCTTTTCCAAAGGCAGGTTCTAAACACAACTATTCTGTTTCTTCACCTGAAAATAGAAGGGAAGTTTTCCTATTACATATTACTTCCTACTATTTGCCTTATGCCATATGGCCTACTGCTACACAGAGTGGGGAAAAGGCCTGTAATTTAATTTGATTCAAATTAATATGACTACAAAGGACCCACACACACAAGAAAGATAGTGGGGCAGGTGCATGAGGGATATAAAGATGAACAGACATGATCCTTGCTCCATAGAGTTTCAGAATAAAAGTTTTAGGGGTGCCTGGCAGGCTCAATCAGTAGAATGTACAACTCTTGGTCTTGGGGTAGTGTGTTCAAGCCCCACATTGGGCATAGAGCTTCCTGAGGGAAAATATGGAAGTTTAAATATTTAGTTAAGAAATATTAACAATAAAACAAGGGTGAGTTAGAACAAGCAACATCATAACTCAAATATTTGATGGCATTTTTGAAAATGCAATAGAAATTAGTAGATCTCTTTTCTCACCTATATCAAGATTTACCAGGGAGTAAACTCATCGCTTTCTTGTCTGGATCTCTTACTCTCCTTTTCTTTTGTTTGATCTCTGACCCAGTTCAATACTAGTGCTAATTCAAATATGAGGCCCACTGCTGGTAAGGACTTATGCAGAAGTAACCCTGAAGTCCTTTACTGTTTATAATTATCAATGTGTAATTGATAATAAGCTAAAGAACTTTCCAAGACTTGTCAGTATTTGGGCTCTACTCATACTTAGCCTCTTGTACAGTCAATCAGGGACTTCATAACAAGGCATTCCTTTAACCAAGATAATACTGAGATCTGTTTCCTGGACCCAAGTGAACATGTGTTTGTAAAAACTAGTTTTCAAAGGGAAAAACTGGTTTACACAGGGAGTTTTTTGGTTAATCCTAAACTGGATGATTTTCCCTTTTAAAATTATTTCAATCATACGGGCAAAAGTCTCATAGAGCCAGTGTTCCTTTGGCAACCTGCTCCTTGGTGGGTTGATATTTGCAAAACAAGGTGACCCTTTTCAAAACTGAAAAAAGGTAGAAAGGGGATGTGGGTTGTGACTCAGCCAATAACAAATGGTAGACAAACGGATGTTTGCCGACAAAAGGATGACTGTCTTCCTAAAAGGAAGAGGTTCGTTCCCACCATGGACAAGGAAAAAAGAGAGCTGTGGGCATCAACAAGATGTGTGTGTCTCTTGGCAGAATAACAGGTCGATGGTGGCATTATGCTTTGTGGGAGGGTATTTGGTGCTCTGGAAAGCAAACAGAACGAATACTCCAAGGTTATGAGGCTGACATCTGTGGCTAACGATGGCATCAAACTCTTAGGCAAATTTCATGGGTGTCAATCAAATGTCAGCTCTGAAGTTTCCAAGAACAAGATACTTCAGTCATTAGACATGCATCACAGTTACGTTGAGTTGAGTTGGAGCCTCATCGGAGGCTTGGTTCAAACAGGTTTTCCCCCAGGTGTGTCCACAGTTGCTGAAGCAGGCCAGAATCGAATATCTGACGTTCCCTTCAGCCATATTTGTGGGGGTCTGTGCTACCCAAAAATAACAGTAATGAACCAACTACACTGTTTCATCAAGAATGGCCAAAACGCAGTGTCTGCAAAATAAGTGAGGTCCTTTCGAAACGAAGTCCAAGATTAGCAAGATACAAGGGGCATCTCAAGCAAAGAATGGAGGGGTGATTGAGAAGTCAGGCTGGCACGAAAGGAGGCCCCACACCCACTGGGTCTTGAAATCTAGGGGTATTGGTAGCTGCTGATTTTTGTTTATTTCCATATGCGCCGTCACCAAATGATTCTTAAGGTCATAAAACATCGTAGTTAGAAGGAACCCTAGAGGTGATGATGATGATGATGATAATAATGACAATTAACATTTCTAGAGCGCTTACATGTGCTCCAGGCACAAAAGAAGTCTTTTACTTACCCTGTTACTCACAGGGCCTCATTTCATTTCTACAAAAATCCTGTAAAGAATGTGTTAGCGTAGCTATTTGGCAACTGAGAAAACTGAAGTATAAAAGAGAATATGTAACTTGCACAGGATCACACAGGCCCCTGGCAAAGCTGGCTCACACGTCTAGGTCTGTCCAATAGCTCCCCAGAGGGCGGAGGGATCCTCAGACAAAGGCACGCTCATTGACCAGAATCCATTGCCTAACCTGAGTCCATAGGAGTTCTCTAACACATGCTTAAGTGAGAATGACAAGGGGATGCATTGAAAATGACAGATCCTACACCCAGAAACAGAAACTATATAGTGCTTACTATGCAAATTATAAAGTGTCCTGGTGGGTACCGTGTTGGCCTCCACTGCCCCTCACTAAGGACCTGGCTACAAGTCTTAATCTGGGTGGTTAGGAGCATCATGTCAGATCTGGATCCCAGACTGTTCTTGTGCCCCTTGAACTGTTTTTGCTCTGGGGCATCTGCTTGTACTTAGGGTTTCAGCCATTTTGAGAACTTAAAAAGAAAAAAAACCCACATTGATGCATAGGTCCCATTCACTGAGACTCTGATTCAGTTGGTCTCAGGAGAAGCCCAACCATCAGTATTTTTTGAAAAATTTGCAGTTAATTGACACTCATGTATGTCCATTGTGGACAAGCACTGGTTTGGACTTGGCTTCTTAACCTGACAAATGGTGGTATATTACCTTCTCTGGAGAAAATAATTTGTGTTCTCCAGTAGCTGTTTTGTTTTTGTTTTTCCTAGGCTCTGTGAGGATGGATGGGGCCTTAAAATCCTTTGCAACCCCAGCTGAGAATGGATCCTCTGTTTATACCACCCCATTATGTGTCCTGTGAACCACACCCATACATCCTCCTTTCAACACTGCTCAGAACATATGGTTTAATAACTTTTAAAAGCCTAAAATCTTATAGACAGACTGCCAGAGGCTATATATGCCATTCATACAGGTTCAAGAACAAGGGAGCATTTTTGTCTTATGACAACTTCTGTCTATATACGGTAATCACTTAAAATACAAACATATATACATATGCTTTTTTTTTAGTTCCATTTTATGTTTGAAGGATATTCTCAAAAATCTCATCTGACCCTTAATGAGACAATAAGAAAAGGTTAAGTGACTAGTACCTTAATTCTTTTTTTTTTTTTTTAAGAGAGGGAGAGTGCATACGTGGACGTGCAAGATGCAAGTGGGGGTGAGAAGGACGGAAATGGAGGGAGGGAGAGAATCTTAAGCAGATTGCATGCCCAGCATGGAGCCCAACCTAGGGCTCGATTCCAGGACCCTGAGACCATGACCTGAGCCGAAATCAAGAATGCCCAGGTGCCCCTAGACCAGTACCATGAGTCTAAAGTGAGGAAATCAAATCTGGAGTTGGAGACAAGGCTCACTGAAATGGCCAGGCCTAGAACTCAGGTCCCTTGATGCGAATGGTCTTTTCCCTGCATCATGCTGCCTCACTTAAAACTTTCTTCTGTCTCCTTTCCTCTTCATTCATACTCCCACCTTTCTAGGTCTGGTCATATCTGTATTCCTGAATTACTGCAATAGCCATGAAAAGATAAAAACAAACCTGGGAGAAACTACATCAAAATGCCAACAGTGGTTGAGTTTGAACAGGAGAGGCCTGTTTTTGTGTGATATATACTTTTTTTTAAAAAAAAAATAAACAATTATTACTTTCCTAAAGGAAAACCAAAACCATTAGAAGAATAGCCTTCTTTCCAGTCTCTGAACGTATATATTCATTATGCAACCAGTTCTCTGGCTTGATTTCCCTTCCTAAAACAGGTTTTATTCCAGTCATTATCCTGCTTAAACCTTCTGGGGCACTCTTGAGAAAAGTCCAAACTCCTGGAATCCAAAGCTCTCCATGTCTAGCTCCACCCTCTACCTGTTCCCCTTATCTCCCAACACACCCAACACAATCCTCCCTTTCTGCTGGGCCAGCATCCTCCTTGCCCGAGAGCCAGGAGAACTCTGTCCATTTCCTCTGGTTCTGCTGTTCTGCTCTGTCCTTTCCTCTTTACCTGTCCAAATCTATCTTTCTAGGCTCGGCTCGAGAACTTCCTCCTCCAGCTCACCTTTGTCACCATGTGAGTATCAGGAGTGGCGGCACATAGGTTTCATTACCTATTACCAGGTGCAGGCAGTTGAAAATATGTTGCACAGAGTATCCTGAGAGTTAATGTTTGCTCACAGGGAAAGTTTTATCATCAGTTGTAGTTCCTGTCATAGACATAGCAGGGAAAAAGTGACAAAATGTATGTTACATATCTTCCATCCAGACCTGGAACCTTTCTTTTAGATCTATGATGTCCAGTAGAGCAGCCACTAGCCATACATGGCTATTTAAATTTAGATAAATTAAAATTAAATACAATAAAAGTTCACTTTCTAAGTCATAAACCCACATTTTAAGTGCTCAATAGCCACATGTGGCTACTGGCTGTCATATTGAACAGCAGATGTTTTACCCATATAGTTATGTAATAATTTAAGACAATAATATTTGTTTCCTGTGTTGTTTTCTCAGGGAGGCCAAAAGCCTTTTATAGGAAGATATCTTCTCTTTTTTGTATCCCTAGGGCACCTAGCCAGTGCTGGGCACATTGGAAATACACTGTATTTGTTGAGTTAGTATTTAGTACTGATTTGGCAATGTGCAGTAAAGTAGAACAATAAAAGAGAACTGATTTGGAAATCAAGAGTTTGTGGCTGTAGTTCTGACAATTAGTATGGGATTTGGAATATCTCATTTAACTGAAGTAGGTCCGTTTCCTCAAGGACACGCAGTTAAAGTCTAGGCTATACCAGAAGATTTTTTCAGGCTTGCAGTTTTGTGATACATATGGAGAGTTCACTTTTTAAAAAGTTTTTAAAAAGATTTGAGAGAGAGAGAGCAAGAGAGCGTGCATGTGTGCACATGCATGTGCATGATTGCAAGTAGGGGGAGGGGCACAGGGAGAGAACCTTCAAGCAGACTCCTTGTTGGGCTTAGAGCCCAGTGTGAGCCTCGATCTCAGGACCCCTGACATCATGACCCTGAGCTGAAACCAAGAGTCGGGCACTTAACCGACTGAGCCACCCAGGTGCCCCTGGAGTGTTCACTTTTAAGCAAAATGTGTATATACCCACACGCATGCAAAGAATGAAAACTTTTAAAATACTCTGATTTTAAAACTTGTGTATCTCATTTTGCAAATATATAAGACTAGCATTTCAGGATTTAATTCCCTGCCAGAGCTACAGCTAAATTATTTTTTTTTAAAGATTTATTTATTTATTTATTTATTTATTTATTTATTTATTTATTCATGAGAGACACAGAGAGAGAGAGGCAGAGACACAGGCAGAGGGAGAAGCAGGCTCCATGCAAGGAGCCTGACGTGGGATTCGATCCCGGGGCTCCAGGATCACACCCTGGGCTGAAGGCGGCGCTAAACCACCGGACCACTGGAGCTGCCCTAAATTCTTTTTTTGAAGGGAATCACAGCAAAGGCGAGATGACCTTGTAAGTAGAGAATGTCAGATGTGGGCAAGTGGGACAGAGAAGGAGATAGCCTTTGTCAGCAAGACAGGGACAGACATCTACATTCTGACATGTTTGACACTGTATTCGTCCAAACTGTATGCAGGCGTCACCCTTTGACCCCGCCGGCCCTTTGCTGTTGCTCGGAGTGAGGAACCAGCCAGCTGGCCTGCTCCTCTGTCTGTTTTTATATGTTTTGTATGTAGCTAAGAATGGTTTTGTTTGTAGCTGAGGATGGTTTTTACATTTTAAAGAAGAGAGAGAAAGAGAAGGAGGGAAACATGTCTGTTAGACACTGTATGACCTGCAAAACCTAAAATATTTACTATCTGGCCACACTAATGACTAGTGACCACATACAGTTCCCGCACTTTTCAAGACAAATCGCTTTCTGAAATGTCATAGGGCCTGTGTCTCAAACAAAATGGGAAAAAAAACCTTCATGTTCTCTGTGCTTTCGAGAACCCGGAAGACGGGAAAGGCCGCCAGGCTGGGGCACAGTGGGCGGGCCACACAGCTCTGTCACCTTTGTGTCTGAAGCAGGCAGGACCCTTGGCTCCATTGTGACGGTAGAAAAGCTAGTCCTCAAGCCTGAGACTGTGTGTTCCTGTCCTTAGTTCAGAAAGTTGATGAGTCATCGTTTCTGGCTGGGTCCTTGACATTCAGCATTCAGAGAGTGAATTCTGAAGGCCCCTGGAAGAGGAAAGCTTTCGAGAATCCTCCACCTCCTGCCCTTATCTAGGGAGAGAGCCCAGGCTTGCCTCTCAGTTTATTCTTTCTCTCTCACCCCTTGCCCTTTCAGGGCTTGGGGGATCTAGATTGAGTGAGCAGATAAAGGGGCCAAGCCCAGGAGGCCGACGCAGCCAGCAGGGTTTTGGGCAGGGCTGGGCCAGTGTCTGCACTCAGACAGCAGCCCTGCCAGGTGGACCCAAGGCGAACTGCGAAGTGGAGGGTTTTAGAAGTAAAACATTGACCTTTTTCCCTTGGATGACCCGTGGCCTTGGGCCTCCCCAAACCTTCTTCCCACCTAGGCCTGTTCTCTAGACTTTCACCCAAGTCTTGGTTTCTAAAAATGCACTTCTTAATTATCTAACACTCCTGTTTAGATATTTTTCCTTTTTTGATCTACCCTTTTTTTTCTCCTCCCTATTCCCTGGGCTCATTGTCAGAGTCCTATCACCATTGGCTTCTGTATACACAACTGCCCCTAGTTTAATCCAGTTTGCCTCACATCTAATAAAAATCCAAATTTACAAAACAAAAAAGATTTGAAACGTAAATCTTCCCTTTGTTAAAGAAATTTCCCCCATATGAAAGACTGGTATCTCTCCCTCCCTTTATGTTTACCACTTTGGACACTACCTTATAGCCATGGGTGATTGGGGGGAGGGCCTCCAGTTGACTGCAGGCAAATTCACTTTCTATTTGCAGATCATGTGGCACAGTGAGTGTATACTCTTGCCCCATGCTGGATCATAAAAAAATTTACTTTCCCTAGTTTGTTTACTGTTGAGCTTGAGCTCATTAAATATATCCAGTGGCCTGGGTCATGATCGTACAAAAAACAGGACCTTGGCTTGCTTACAACAGTGGTTGCATTTGCTTCAGTTGGTACAGATTCATTTGGAGAAATTCCCAGTTTATTCTCAAGGATGATTCTAGCTCAGCACCAAATCCCAGTGGCTTCCAATTAATAGTGATGAGCAGCGCCAGTGTGCCATAGCTGCATTCTAGAATTCCTAGCCTGGAACAGCACTGCTGTCGTGCCCAGGGGAGGATCTATCAGAGAAGTTGGCTCTGGGTCAAAATACTGATGCCCAGTTCTGGATAGAACTCTTTGACACACAGCCTTGGGTTTCACCATTGCTCTGATAACAGAACACACAACTGCGTGAGAGCTGTGTGTATATGTGTGTGTATGAGGAAGAGAGAGCAAGAGAGAGAGAGAGAGAGAAGAGAAGCATCAGAGATTGGATTGCGAATAAATAAAAAAACATCGTCTTTGGGAATCTCCCATTATTCAGAATTCAATTTAAGCCTAATAGTTACAAGCTGAGATTTTGGCAACTGAGTGGGTGGGTTCCAGGCTTGCATTCCACCAGTAATTAGCTTCATCTGACTTCTTTGGGTTTCTGTTTCCTCATTTGTAAAACAGAGATTGTAAGAGTACATGCCACATAGGGTGGGGCGGGGGCAGGGGGAGACTGAAGAAGTAGTCTATGTCAAGAAATTAGCACCGGGTTTTGTATACAGTGGATGCCTAATAAATGTTAGCGTTTCAGCACAAATGTGAGGGGTGTGGTCTGGTGCAGTGTTTCTTAAACTTCTGGGGCTCCATATGACTTAACAGGCAAAGAAAAGGGGCACCTGGGTGGCTTGGTCAGTTGGGTGTCGGCCTTCAGCTCAGGTCATGATCCCAAGATCCTGGGATCGAGTTCTGTGTTAGGCTCTCTGCTCAGTGGGGAGTCTGCTTCTTCCTCTCCCTCTCCCCCCACTCATTCTCATTCTCTCTCTTTCAATTTCTCTCTCGAATAAATAAGATCTTAAGAAAAAACAGGCAAAGAAAATTTAAAAAATGCACAGATAACTTCAGATAAAGTTCAGGTAAGCAATAAGTAATTTTTTAAGTATGAGTATATCCCAAATATTTCACGGATACTGTTACTAAATTATCATTTCTTATTTATCTGAAACTCAAACTTAACTGGATGCCCTGCATTTTCATTTGCTAAATCGGGGGCAACCCTGTCTTTGCATTCTTAAAAATTATTAGGGAACCCAAAGTACTCTTGCTTATGTGGATTGTACCTGTTGCTATTGAGCATGTTAGAAATTCAAACTGATAAATTAAAAATATTTAATTCCTTCAAAAATAGCAGTAGTGAACTCTTGTGTTAAAAACATAACATTTTTATAAAAAAGCTATTTCCAAAAACAAGTAAATGGTGAGAAGAGTACATTGTTTTTGCAAATATCTTTCATGACTGGTTTGATAGAAATGAGCTATATTTTTATATTTGATTCTGTCTTCAATCTATTGATATGTTATTTTCACAAAATTATATCCAGAAAATTCAGCCTCACAAAGATATGTAGTTGGGAAAGGGAAGAGTATTTTAGTTGCCTTTTCAGATAATCATAAACATTCTTCTTTGATAGAAAATCCATATTCTCAAGAAGAGGTAGTTTGTTAAAAGTTAGGTGCAGTATATGGAATCTGAAACAGTATCAATGAACTTTCCTTACTCTATAACATGAAAATCCACTGGTTTATTTCATACATTGAATGGCTCTTTTACCCATGCATGATTCTGTAACATTATGAATTGGTCATTTGGAAAATATTGGTTTACTGGGTTGTGAAGATCTCCTAAATATTGACACATTTTGTTATATGATACTTAAAAAAAAAATCACATTTGTTAACATCACAACTAATCTCATCAGAAAAGCCTTTAGTTATTGGCAAGCCGTCAAATGAATGGTGGCAAGTGCAGTTTCTCCAACATTTTAACTTTTGACTTGAAAGCTGGAAGTTTATCATTGGAAACAAATACTATCAATTATGTTCTTTGAAGTGACAGGCACACTTCATTCATTTTCCAGAAAATGTCTGCCAAATATCCAAGTCTGAATAACCATGGTTTTGTCTATCAGTCATTCATTCAGGTAAAAGTGGTGTTCTATGACAAAGACAGCTTTAATTCATCCACTCTGAGGCCCACAAAAGTGATTTTCCTTGAGACTATCATCATAATTTGGCATGGAGCGAGAGAGCTTTGTGCGTACTTCCCGTTTCATCACACAGACTATTACAAAGATATATACTTAGGAGTCAAGGTAGAATAAAATTAATATATTCTTGCATCGTCAAGTAGATTCTTGAGGAAAATGGGCTCTAAAAAAAACAAAACAAAGCAAGCTTTGGAGTGCCTGGTGGTGAAAATACTGTGATTACTAGTACACATTGTTGCCCCTTCCTTATCTTACGCTGCTGTACCCACCACTGCCTTTACATCTTTAGGGCAAATGTCAACTCCTTGAAAAAGGTAAAAATATTAGAATTATTATGAAAATAGTTATGACCTTATAGACTTCTTATTTATTCATTTTAAGATTTATTTATTTATTTGAGAGAGAGATTGAGAATGAGTGGGAGGAGCAGAGGGTGAGGGAGAGAGGATCCCAAGCAGACTATGCACTGAGCACAGAGCCCTATGCAGGGCTGGATCCCACAACCCCGAGACCACGACCTGAGCTGAAACCACGAGATGGACGCTCAACTGACTGCACCATCCAGGCGCCCCTGACCCTATAGATTTCTGAAAAGGTCTTGGTCCTTCAGAGGGCCCAGGGACCTCAATTGGAGAACTGCTGGTCTAGTGGATGATGTCTCAGTGAAAGACCATGTTGGGCAGAGAAGATTCATCGTGTATTCTTCTGACCTGTTCCAGCCTCTCCTTCCTTGGGCAACTTGGGAAAACATCAGGGGCTATTGGGATACCTTGCTTGAGATCTGAGTTTAAGCTGGATTGGGTGATGAGGAATTTCTGAGCCACACTTGGAAGGTTCTTTGAAGCCACCTTCCAGAAAACTGAAAGAGCATGGGTGATTCAGGGAGAATGCCAAGGCCCTTGGCAGATTCTGGGAGTCTTAGCAGCTCCAAATAAAACCTTCACCTTCTGCTGCTTCCTTCTCTCTTATCGCCTAGATTCCAAGGGAACTCAAAAATCCCTTCCAGAGTCTGGAACCATCCTGCAGGATAAATATATGTGAGACTCAAGGATATCTAAGCTAGAAGGGGGTCCTCTAGAACTGCTTGGGACAGTTCCAGGGTAATAGAGTAGCATTTGCCTAGAGTTTGATTATTCTGCCCTGTTGGAACTTTGCAGTTATAAATTTCAGGGGCAGAGGGGGCACCTGGGTGGCTCAGTGGTTGAGCGTCTGCCTTTGGCTCGGGTCATGATCCTGGGTCCTGGGATTGAGTCCCGCATTGGGTTGCCCGCATGGAGCCTGCTTCTCCCTCTGCCTGTGTCTCTGCCTCTCTGTGTGTCTCTCATGAATAAATAAATAATATCTTTGAAAAAAAATTTCAGGGGTATACCTGGACACTGGCATAAACAATAGAGCAAAAACTTGACTTAGAAGTATATAGCTAGAAATGGGGAAATGTTTTATAAAACATTTATATTGTACAGAAAGCACGAGTCTTAGGGGCACAGAATTTGGTCTCTGAGCAGTATGAAATATATTATTTGAATACAATAGCACACCAAATGCTCTCCATATTGCACAGGGAATTTTAACACAGCCTGCAGTGTTTAAAGTCAAATATCAGATTTGCAGCCCCAGAAGAAATGAATATAAATGGCCTCCCAGAAGTGGGACAGTCCATACTGTCTATTTGGTTAAGGTTTTGTGGTCAAACGAGGGCCCCTATATTAGAGTTTGTCAATAGATTTTAAAAGTGAACAGGACAGATTGTCTTTGGGATAAGAAGAGGAGGTGGAGGGAGGAGGGCAGGGAGGCCAAGGAAAAGAAGAGTAGAAGAACAGGGTCAAGCAGGTTCTGAGCACAGAGTGGCAAAAATCACCCGCAGGTGGCTCTTGATTGGGGCACTAGTCGTGTCCTTGGAGTGAGTAGGCTGCAGAGTGGCTCTGGCACAAGGACAGCTCAGGCAAAGAGCAAGGATGGAGACCTGCTCTGATTTTCAGTTCTGTCACTATCAGCTGCCTGCCCATGGGCAGTCTCTCTGAACCTGTCTCTTCCTGTCTGATTACAGTAAATGAGGTAACATATGTTGAGTACCTGGTAATTGCAGACATTTAGTAAATGATGCTTGTTTCAGGGCACAATTTGATGGTTAGCTTATTTGCTATCTCATCTTTATAACACACTTTTCTTATCCTTATTTGAGTACAGCCCCCCCCCCACCACACACACACACACACACACACACACACACACACACACACACACACAGACAAACCAAAATGCAGAGCAACTGTGTCAAAACCCCAAACTCCGGCCTCCGCTTATACCTAAAGTGTACTCCACTAAGGCGCTGCCTTAGATTCAGATACTACATCCTCACATTTTTTTTTTCATCAAAATTCTAATATGTTCCTTAATCCTAAGCCCTGGACCCCATGCATGGGAGGCAGAGGTGGGTGCTCTGCTGGTCCAGAAAGCAGTTGACATATACACAAATAGTGAGGTGCAGGATAGCATGAGCTACATGACCCAAAAGGAGAACTAGTGAGGAAAGTCTCCTAGGAAGTGAATAACTATCCTCCAGGCTTACAGGTTTGTCAGTTTGGAGATCTGCTCCTGTTGGGTTTGCCTAAAGAAAGGCATACAGGGGTAGCAGTAGTCAGAAGTGGGTTGTAGGGATTCAGTGACATAGACCCTAAAAACAATAAGGGGTTGACCAGCCAGGAGGGAAGAAGGAAGGAGATGAGGAGATGAGTGATCCAAAAGGAAAATGTGCACAATTGGCAGGGAGAATTGACTAGGTGGGGACTTTGGGGTACTGAAAGGGGCATTCGCAGCTGGGGCGTTGGCCCACACTGGAGTGGCAGCAGGGAAGCCCTGGCCTGTGGGGACACTGAGCTGTAGGGCCCCATCAGCAGTTGGCCTGAGACCAATCTAATCTCTGAATCTCAGGGCTCTTGTCAGTAGAATCTGGATGATAGGGGTACCTGGTTGGCTCAGTGGTTGAGCGTCTGCCTTTGACTCAGGTTGTGATCCCAGGGTCCTGGGATTGAGTCCCACATCAAGCTCCCTGTGAGGAGTCTTCTCCCTCTGCCAGTGTTTCTGCCTCTCTCTCTCTCTGTGTGTCTCTCATGAATAAATAAAATCTTAAAAAAAAAATTTCTCAGTGATAAAAACATCTGACTTCCCTCCCTCATCAGGGTGTTTGATATGACACATAAAATAATAGAAAAAATAGGATGAGAGGGTAATTCCTCTCTACCACATCCCCATCCTTTTGCTCAGGGAGGCAAGGCAGAAAGGGAAGAGGGGCAGGGGAGAGAGAAAATGAAAAAAAAAAAAAAAAAAAAAGCAAGAGAAGGAAAGGGAAGGTGAGGCCAAGATGAAGCTTTATAAGGCGGTAGCTGGTTGTGCCCAAGGGCAGGTAGATTCATGATGAGGGGAAAGCTGAAAACAGTTCAGGCCTCAAGGTTGCCCCTGGGAGGCAGATAAACCACCATTTAGGATACCCACCCGAGGTAGATTAGCCAGTTAGACCAAAGGGAAGTGAAGTCAGTTGTCCTTAGACATAGCACCAACTGGAGGCATCTGTATTATGGGGAAACCGAAAATAAAATGGGACCTATATACTGAAGGTCAAGGGACCAAAAAAATTGCAACAACCCTGAAGATTTGAAAACCTTAAGTTTTGAAAATGTAAAGAACTGCTCTTGGCCATTGTTTAGGTTCTGATTGGGACAGCTGTCAGTTCTTTGGGGTATCTTCGCAGGTTCTAGATGTTTTTATGATAGAGATGAAGACACAGGCTCCAAGAAGTTAAGTGATTTACTCGAGGTTACACAGCTGGTGTGTAGAAAGCCATGATCACAGTCCTAGGCTCGATTTTCTTTCTGCCCCACTAGACAACCTAAAAGTATGAAATGCAGAACTCTGAGTATTCCTCAGAGTCCCTGGGGCCAGGGGCTGGGGTAAGAGAATGGGTTTTCTTATTTGCCTACCCTGGCTGTGTGTGGGACTTCGGAGCCGAAGTCAATTCTTTCTGCTCCTCTGGACGGCCTTGCTTGGTCTCCTTTTAGCGAGGAGGCTTGATAGTTGCTCAGTGATTTTACTGTCTCCTTTCTCAGACTGTCCCACTCAGAGCTCCGGGAGCAGGTAGGTAGGTGTGTGCTGCCCCCATGGGCCTCGGACTCCAGCAACCTCCGTGTGTAGTTTTCCTAAAACCAGGCAGCTGATCCCTGAGCACCTCCTCTTGCTCGTGTTAACCCTGGTGGTACCAAGAGGCACCTGACTTTCTGGGTATGCTAATAATTCAGTGCCAGCAAGTTCCTGTTATCCTCTGGTTGTAATTGTTAACTTGAATGGAATGCAAAACTTCTGGTTTGGAGCAGAGTTGGGTTTTAACTGTGAATTACTTGAGGAATATAGCAAATGGGGAGTACATCTTGTTTATTGTGCAAGGTGGCCTCGAAAAGCTTTTTCAGGTTGTATTTTCTGTAATAAGTAGAAATAGGTGGTAAATGTGAAGTTGCTACTGTGTCTGTCTCCAAGCTCACTGGTGAACTCTACCCTTTATTAGCTCTTGCCTTTGACACTTTTTTGGTTTAGCAAGCCAAGACTTGCTGGGGGATTAGAACAATGGCTTATCATAATGCCGCTCCAACACACACGCACACAACTTGTAATGCTTCTGGTGTCAAGGTTTAGTTCTGCAAGCCCTTCCTGCCAGCCTACCCCTGCCCCTCACAAGTTTGGAATTTCTTTTCCGCCTTAAGGGGAAGTGTAGAAATAGAGCCTGCCTGTTCATTTGCATTATTGTACATCACACGATATCTTTGCAACCATTATATTGTGTTCTCTCAATGGTGTTTGCTCTGAGGGTGGGACACAAGGCTGTTTAGTGTCTCGTAAAACATTTACCAAAAGCACTGAGCCATGGTTTTGAAGGGCATTCCGTTGCCAGAGTGTGGGAGGAGAGCGAGCAGGGAAAGGAGAGCTCCAGGTGTTTGGCAGGTACTTGTTTCATACTTTCGTATTTATAAATATTTAAGATTTCGGATTACATACGATCTGGGTTGCTTTTGGCCAAACGGGCAGGAGTTGGGGAGGGGGGGAAGAGACAAAAATAATTCTTTTGCAAACTGTTTCTTGGTGGCCCAGAGACCCCGGAAAATTGTAATCTTCCCTCTCGGTCAAGCATTGTTTTCGGTTTTACTAGAGGGACTGGGGTGTCGTGGAGAGCGGGGTAGTACCTTCCCGGGCTTGAGGTTTTCCAGCAGCATGAATCAGATGTTAGCGTTTGCTTTAGCAAAGAATTCGGAACCAGGTGTGGTGTTTCTAAGAGGCGACCTGTAACCTTGTGATTTGCACTTCTGTGTGCCCCGTGACTCATGCCATTAAAAGCTTTTGCTAAATGGTGGTTCTGGTTTCATGAAAATACTTTTAAGCTTTCTTTCCTCCCCACCTTTTCTGTTAAATTTTGACAAGATACCAAAGTAAAAGTCAGCTTCAAAGACTGCTTCTTATCCTCAAATCTGTGTTTTTAGAACAAGGTCACTAGGAGTGACTATATACTGTTCATAGACCATTTTTGGAAAACTAATGACTAAGTACTTCTTGGAAATACTAAGTATTTATATTCTAGCGTGTCCCCCCTTTGGTTAAAAAAAAAATCCATACATATTATAAAACTAGAGCCTTAATTGAATATTTCACATTTGATCAATTGTGGTAATGGTATCCTGGACACAGGTACCTGCAACCATGTTATAGTGACAAAACCCCAGACAATAAATAGGAGAAATCTAGAAAAAGATTAGCTCTGAAAGGTTTCTGTAATGCCCAGTTCTTGGGGAAAGGAATCACAGTATAATATCTGCAATTTAACAAACATGGGATCTTTGGACTGTCTTCATACTATCGTCTCCCACTACGTGGATAGACAGCACTAAAGTGAAAATCCCATTGATTATGAAACAATGTGATTTGTGGACATTTTTGCCCAGTGACATTGGCAGCAAGAAGCCAACAGTCTTTCTTCTTACAAGTTCCCAGTCATTGCAAAATGGCTGGAAGAAATGATTGTTTCACAATTAGAGGGAACTTCCTTCATGGAGAAAATTTCACTGTGGCTTTGTGTATTTAGGCAAATAGGACTAAATCTAACAGCCACAGAGGCCAAAAGACCTCGAGTTCACCCGAGGGATAGCAGATTTGATTATTTGTGTGTGCCTATCAGAAAATTGGGTTTAGCGGCGAGTTGTTATATTCCCCTGATGGCTGAAAGTTAATGTAACTTTCGGCAAGTGGATTCACTTTTTCATACCCACTCTTTTAAGATTCCGAAACAGAGGGAAGAGTACTCGCTTTCTGCTTTCCTGGCCCATAGTTGCACTTAGATGCTTAAGAGTCTGTGAAACTTCACCATCTGTGATGCCACATAAATCCAAATCCTAACCAGTGAAGGAGCTCATGCATCAATTCCACCATTTCTAAACTACACTGGGGAAGTTTTAGGTTTGAAATCTTATCAGATGAACTGACAGACTCTGGGAAAAAGTCTAAAAATGTACCATTTCCAGATACTTGTCATTCCTTGTTTCCCTTTATTTCATTGGGAAAATCCTTATTTGGTATAGTTCCTTTGTTTAGCTTTTTCAAATTCCGAGTCCCAAAGATCTACATGAATTTTTTTTTAAATATTTTATTTATTTGAGAGAGAGCGAGAGAGAGAGCACGAGCAGAGAGGGAGAAGCAGGTTCCCCACTGAGCAGGGAGCCTGACATGGGGCTTGATCCCAGGACCCTGGGATCATGACCTGAGCCGAAGGCAGACGCTTAAGCAACCGAGCCTCCCAGGTGCCCCATCTCTGTCATTCTATTTATTTTATTTTATTTTTTAATTTTTATCTCTGTAATTTTAAACTTTACTGCTATTACATGAGATATGATAATAGTGTTTCTAGATCAGGTTGGGTTTAAAAGGTATATCATTCTGTGGTCTCTTCACAAAGGGTATTATCATCTGTTCCTGCTGTCCTATAGCATGTAAGTTCTTGATTTGTCATATGCCATGAAGGTGGACTTCAGGGACAAGCATAGGCCCCAAATTAGGTGGCAGTTTGCAGCCTCCAATAAAGCCCAAGGAGTTGGGGTTGCTTTCACTTGCTTGAACAGAGCTGTCACACAGAAGTGTGCATGGGTGACAACTGCCTATCCAGATGATTTTGGGTGACAATACCAGAAAAGTCACATTCAAAGGACCTGGGGGTCAGAGCTCTGCAGGCAAGCTAGAGGAATCATCATAAAGATTTGGGCTACGTTGGGCTGGTTTTGTTTTGGTAGCATGAAATGAAAACTACGAATAGGTTAGTTGAGCAATGAGTAAAAATTCTTCACTAGTCTAGTAACTTGGTGTTCTGACCTCCTAAATTATTACCTGTACTTCCCTCTTTCTGATTGTCATCACATTTATTTTATACTTGACTCCTCTGCTAAAACGTAAGTCCCCTTAGGTCATAGGTCATGAATGTCTTTTTCACTACCATTCTCTCCAGTGCTTAGTACATACAAGGCATTCAAAAACATAAGTACTGACTATATGAATAAATGCATGAATGAAAGCAAACGAGAAGGACTGGGGGTCCTCAGAGACAGGCGGGTGATGACAGTAAGAAATAGCCCCAGATAACACGGAAGAGGCAAAATCTACTGTCATCAGTATAGAAGCTATGACCTCTGAAGTTATTACTCTGTCTCAGCCCACCTTGACCAGGTAAGTTTCTCAGGATAACCTTGGTTCACCAGGAGGAAGGTGCTCAGTCATGTCTACTTAAAATGATAGTGAGGACTACAGATCATTTTATAAAGATTTTTATCCAAGAAAGTACTAGTTTTCTGATGTAAGTGGATAAATGCAATTATTTGGAAAATTTCGTATTTGAGTAATTCTTTATTCTACAATTGCAAGGTACCAGTGAATACATTTATCACCCATGGAAATGTAAAAAGAGCCTAGAAGAATGCACAAGAGAGAAACTTTCCATGTGATAAGATTAAAGTCCAATAAATGCTTTGAAAAGTATGATTTTTTTAGGGGCACCTGGCTGGCTGAGTCAGTGGAGTATGCAACTCTTGATCTTGTGGTTATGGACTTGAGTCACATGTTGGGTGTAGAGATAAATAAAATCTTTAAAAAATATTATTTTAAACATAATTACTGAGGTATGACAAAGGCAGTAAAATGCACAACTCTTAGAGCTTGATGAGCTTTTACATAAATGTGCACTCAGATCAAGGTACAGAACATTTTCAGTGTCCTAGAAGGTGCCTTGTGCTTCCCCTCTGTCACCCCATGGCTCAAGATAACCATTATTTTAACTTCTTTTACCATAGATGAGCTTCGGCTGTTCTTGAACTTCATAAAAATGGAATCATACGTGCTCTTTTGTATCTGGCATCTTTCATTCAATATTATGCCTGTGGCATTTGCCCACATTGTTTCACGTAACTGGACTCTATTTCCTCATTGCTGCATAATATTCTGTTGTAAGAACAGACCACCATTTCATGCATTTGGGGAGGGGATTAAAAACATGGCTATATGGACTGAAAATCATTCCTAGTTAGTGCCAGAGCTTTCAAGTGATCTCAGAAAGGGTGGAGTGGAAATGTTATCACCTAAAAGAGGTGGAGAGAGAAAAGTCTGTTTCTGGGAGTATGTTTACTAAGTGCTCTGCATGGACTGTTTACTTAACTGAATCCATCAGTTGGTCTGAACTAAACACTTAAATTGTAGATTATTTTGGGGGCAACCCTGTCCTGGCAAAGACTGCGCCAGATGTGCCACCTTGTTACTCAGCTTTTATGCAAACAGCGCAGGGTGCGTATCTCCTGTTGGAAAGCTAGCCATTGACCAGACTTCTCTTAAGTCATTTTCTCTCTGTTTCCTCCTCAACGTTTGTTTTGCTTTGAAAAAGGGCACACTTGTGTATTTTTCATTCTCACCTTTACTTATGAATAAATTTTTTTTGCGTACGAATAGTTTTTATTTTCAGATGTACATGGTACATTCTAAAATCTGAAGATAGCAACTTTTGAGGGTTTTTTTTTTAAAGCTCATGTTTTAATATTTATGCATGAAGAAATATTCAGTCACCATAAGAAAGGT